AATAACTAAAAATGAAAATAAAATATATTTTATATAATACAACAAGGGAAAAAAAGTAACCAAAATGGGAAAACAAATGCAATACAAGTCCCAGTACTAAAAATATATAAAAATATATTCAATAGGAAAAAATGTAAAAAATAAGTAACATCTATATTTTTAACTCAACATATATAAATAAATATAAATTAAATAGTTGAAAATGGCAAATGCCACGATTTCTTAGCAATCGTTTAAGCAAATTTCCCTTTACTTTCCTATAGGGCATAGCACAATATACAATTCAGAATCAGAATCAGACCCAGACTCGGTCTGGTACTGGTACTCGTGCTGTTTCCACTTTAATACATCATTGAATGGAAAACGGAATGAGCATGCCAGACACCTGGTTCCCTTGGGCTCTGCTGCTCTCCAGTACCTTTGTGAATTTCTACCTCCGTACCGCCTGCCGCTGGCTTGCTTTTTCCCTCTTGGCCGACGGCTAGCAGCTCTGGGTGCCCAGTTTGAAAAAGGGAGGGGTAGCATTTTGAGGAAGGAGGAAAGGATCAACTGGTTATAGTTCGGCTACAGCTGCCGTCGACGTCACTTCCGTGCCACGCGAGCGTCACACTTCAGGCGAGGAGGGAGGGAGCGAGCGAGAAGGCAATATCCGACATATAGAGGGGGCATGTTATGGGATTGGGGCGTCGTCGGTTATAGCCAAAGTTTTCGGGGCAACTCGCTAGGCAACGCCAAATAGCCCTTGGCAAGCTGACAAGCCGAATGGCGACTGCGACTACGACTGCAGCAAGTGGGGTGTGCATTTTAGATTGGGCTTAGAGTTGGGTGTAATGCCCACCCACCCATCGGCGGAAAAAGAACGGGAAAAAAAGAATGGGGGAAAAGCACCCAAAACAGCTGGGCCAGCTGCAGCACTTGTAGAGCATTTCCTGCTCCTGCTCCTGGCTGTTGGTCCTTTTGCTCCTGGCTCCTGGCTACTCCTGCTGCTTTTTGCACGCTCGCAAACGCGCTCAACTGAATCCCCGCAACTGGGCTGCGGTGCACCTTTCGTACGCTTGGACATACACCCCCACTCAAAACTAAATAAACTAACAAATTTCAACAGAATCTCATGGGTTGAACAACCAAATACCCTTCCAGATTTTTTGGGGAAAAATATATAAAAAGAAAAAAATATAAATTATGGTATTATACACTTTTATTAATTTAATACATTTTTAAGTTTTAAGATGTAATTATATTTTAAATATTTTTTATTAAGCTTATATTTTTAAAAAACCTTTGTACAAAACAGGAATACAGCTTTGAATATAAATCTGAAATCTGGATTTATTATATAGGAAAATGACACTTACAAAACAGAAGCTTTTAAAATAATATGTAAATGTGTAAATTATGATCTTCAGTTACAAAAATATTTTGGAAAATTAATTTCAGTTCAAATGAACTTAATTAGGTCTGTATAAAAAAGGTCCTTAGACCTGTAACATTAAAAAATGTCATTCCGAAATAATTATAACCAATGATCGCGATAGTAGACCAGCAACAGCGGACATTTCCGATCAAGTACTTGTCCTTATGGACCCTATTTAAGTATATTTTCCCAAAAAACGTGTCAGAAATACCACCCTTGGGCAAGGCAAGCCTTTAAGCCCATTTGAAATACTCCCTCGCAGGGTATACAACATGGAATAAACAAAAACTAATAGCTGCAAACTTAGCACACACACCGCACCGCTCGTAAAACACGAAACAGGAAAGGCTGTCGCTGCATTAACCATATTGTCCTTGTTCCAGGTGAGCGCGCCCCATTCCGCCCGTCGTCCTCCTCTGCCGGCTGCATAATTTTGGTAGCTATTCTATATGGCATATAGCCGCTTTTCCTCTGCAACCAACAAACTATTCTACATTTTCCTGTCGTGACGCGTGGCCCAAGTTCCGATTCGCTAGCCAAAGCCAAAGCCATATGGCTGTGGAGTTGTTGAGCTTGAATCGCCTCAGTGCCTCACCATCTGCAGTTTACCTTCCGGATCGAGGTTCGAAAAATATTCAGAATATTCAGAAAGAGGGTGTGTGGCGAGTGCGCGTGGCCAGCGATCGAGGTCCTGAATTCTTTAAGGAGGCGGAGGGCGCGTCTAACGAAGCGCAACAATTTCGTCGTGGGCCGCATAAAGCGCATCTTGCTAGGAATCGCCTGCAAGTCTGTTGGCTGGAAAAGCAGATTACCATTTGCAAGGAGCCGTGTGCCACGCGAGTGGTTTTGTCAACAACTTAAGAAAGGACATGCAGAGAGAAAAATATCTTCTAAGGTTAAAAAATATTTTTGTAGATGAAATATGTTATTTGAAAAATAATAAAATTATAAAAAAGACATAAAAGAACTAATTTTTGTTTGGGAAATGCTAAAATATTTTTCGCTAACATAAAGATTAACAAATGATTTTCTTAAACATTTAAATCTGAAAAAATTTCAATATATTTAAAAATTTTACTAACTAGTTTAAAAAAACTTTTTAACTAACAATTTGTTCAAAATTACAGTTTAAATATTTTTGATATATTTACCAGTTGGAATCTGAAGTTATTCCCAAATTATAAATTATTTTCTTTGTATTTAAGCTGGTCATTTTATGTACCTAAACACATGATATTTATAACATATATTGCTTAAAATTAAGTTAAATAAAGTATAGTATAAATTTCTTGCAGTGCATCCTGGGTGGGGTTGAACGGGGCATATTTAGGGCTTCCACTGAGGTGCCGGGCGTAGGGCGAGCCCAATTTCTTCGTTTTTTTTATAATTAGTGCAACCGAATTCCACAGATGGTCTATACGTTACTTCGGCATTAATATTTACATACCGCCGTTCATTTCCAAGGAATGTAAAGAGGTCCGCCGAGGTCCTTATGGACTGTCACTTCGCGAGATGGATGGACAGATAGATCGGTGGGCACTTTTTGGTTTTCCTCAAAAAATTCGAAATAGTTTAAACAAGGAAACCATACAACAAAAGGTTACATCTGTTTCGAGTTTTCGATGGGTGGGTTTGGAGTGGGGAGCAGGAAGTGGGTTGGTCGAACAAAGGACTTCGGGGGGATACCATAGTAAACCGAATGAAAATTCCAATGAAAGTATGTATAATTTTTAAAAGGACTGCAGCACAACGGCTGCAGAAGCGACGCTAAGCTCGTCTGAGGCAGACAAATTGTCTGTTGTCGCTGGCTAATTAAAAGGTTAAGAACTTTGTAATTTAAGTGTCTGATTATGCAAAGCTCTACAGCTCTCCAGCTCTTCAGCTCCCCGATTTCCCTGTTCAGCTAACCGAAGCTCCACTTTAATTAATTAGTTTTGTGTGTGTGAGCTGCACTGACTGAGAATGCCAACAGATTGTATATATATGTAATTGAGTTACTTTTCAAGATGTTCCAGGGATTTTATAGCGGGTCATTTTGAACAGATTGTTGAACCACAATCTTGAAGTTTTTCTGAGCTATTACAAATGTAATTTTTTTACTTAATAAGATTTAATTACTTTTTAAAATTATTATTTGGAGGGTTTTGAGTTCCTAAATATTTAGGTTTTATTATTTTTCTAGCCTCCTTTTTATTTTAACTTTAATTTTCCGTTCAATATCATTTATACGGCATCACAAACTAAATTGTGCATATTTTGGATACCAAATAAAAGTTAATACTTAAATAATTTATATTTATATTATTTAAAATTACCAAATAAATTTTAATATTTATTTATTTTGTATTTAAATCGATACACAAAGAAACCTTTTTACAAATATAAATATTTGTACAGACTTCACATCACAGGACCCTTTTCACAGTATCGGCAAAACCCTAGTTATCCGACCCAAAATCGAGTTCATTTCATCCTGGAAGTGTGGCATATGACACATCCAGCTGTCAATCAAAAGCGAACTCGGCAGGAGCTGCAATTAATCATCCAACGATTTGAGTTGCCGCACTCATATCCGACCTCTGTGATCTGGAAAGTAAACCACTTATTCATGGCCAGTGGAGAGCCATTCCGAAAGGAGGATAAATGCGGGGGCGACAGAAGTTAGTTTGTGCTGTTTATCTTGTACTAACTGAGTTAGAACCCAAGGACCAGCGACTGTTGCATCCCCCCTTGCCCTTCCTCTACACTTTCTATGTATGTAGAGAGAAGGGGAACTACCACCCCGTCGTTGGCAATTTGTTCAAAATCAGAGCCAAGCAACAAATGCAATGCAACAGCAATTAACTCGGCACAACTGCCACATTCTGGGCGAAAAATCCACCCCGTGAATGGGAGCCTGAAGCTGAAGCGGCCAAGAGCCAAGAGCCAAAGAGCCGCGAGCCCCGAGCCAAAAAAGTTCCAAAAGGGCCAAAGAGCCATGAGCCAATTCTCAGGTATGACTGGGGGTCTCTAGTCCCCCCCGAAAAGAAAGAGACAGCATGGTGAGAAGGGGAGAGGTGGAGAAGTGGGAGAAATGGAGAGAGAGACAGGCGCAACAATTTTGAAATTGGGAGAAAGCAACAGCGGGGAATGTTTTGGCAGTGGAACACTTCCTGATTGTTGCCTGTCCTGTAGGGAGGTTCCTAACTATGCGATTTTATAAAAAATATAAGAAATATCTTCTTTTAAAAAGGTTTTTAAGATATTTGTAGCCTTAAAAACTACCCCTAATATTTTTTTAATATCTTTCGGTATCTAGTTCCTTGTATTATATCATAAAATGTAGTTCTTTTAATATTCCCTCGTTTGTAGTAGCCCACAGGACAAGCAACAGCAATAGCAACAGCTATGCTTCCTTGCTTGGGGGTTGGAATTTAGGGGCTGTACCGCTCTCAGGCGTTCCGCTCTCTCACTCTCTCGCTCTTCCCTTCGGCTGCCTTCGGCTCGCGATGCGATTTCGGTTTCGGTTTCCCAATCGTTCTTCTGGGGGTGGACTACCCTTATAAGCAGGCTCTCGGGCCGTCCGACTCTCATAAGCATTCAAGAGTTGCTTACGTTCGGTTCGTTCGCATTTCTTCTCTATCTTATATAATATTATATTTTCTCCTAAATCAATTTTTTCACTACCAACAACAACAACAATAATAACAACTCAACTATTCTCAACTCGCGTCAACCTTAACTTAACTTAACAACTCTACCACTACAACTCTGTCAACTTTCCGTTTTTAAACTGAAACTACAAAAACAAAATATTTTTGTTTGCAAAAATACAAAAAAACCGAGGAGAAAATTGCCAGCCAAAAATATATTGAAAAAACGGAAGGAAGGATACCCCAAAAAAAAAAAAGAAATCCCCCCCGTTATGTTTTGAGTCCAATTCCGAGTGTTAAAAACAAACGTAAACGTAAACGCAAATGTAAATGTAAAAATCGATAAGCCACACGCAGCCAGCCAACTGAACGCGAACGTGTCCGTGTGTGAGTTCCGTGGAGCGAGGGGATTACGTGGAGAAGACGGGGGGAACTGACCAAAAATCGGTGGCCCTGGCCAAAAACGCAAAAACTCCGGCCCAAAAAGAAATAAAAAAGAAAGCAAAGAACGAGAGAGAGGAGAAACTCCAGCCCAAATGACGGATACATGGGTCTGACAACGAATCAAGCGCCGAAATGTGTGAAGTGGCTGTGAAACCCGAGGAATCCTAACTAACAAAAATAAAAACCCAAAAAAAAGGAAAACCAATTTACAATAAAATGCAAATTATTAAGAATATTTAACCAAAACCCCAAAAACACACCACACTCACACACAACCGAAAAACAAAAACACAGGATGAAACTCAAGAACTAAAACCTTAAGAGATCTTTCGGCGAGCCAAACTCTATATACAATATCATCATATATATTTTCACATGCGAGATAACAACAGCAACGTTTCCTTTCCGCTTTTGCCACAACATAATACCCCTGAGACGGTCTTTGCTCGCTCGAAACGCTCGACACTAGCTTCAGCACTTAGCCCTCTAAGATCTACGCACTAACTGGATCCAACTGGACCCTAGCCAAAACTAAACTCTAACCTCAACATAAAACAACCCAAGGAAACCCTGAAGATGCCGCGCTGCCTGATAGCCAAGAAGTGGAAGGCCTATCCCTGGTTGGATCGGTCGGAGGATAGCAACAACCAGCAGCAGCAGCAGCAACAGAACTCCTCTCGAGATCTCGAGGAACTGCATCTTAAGTCTAGGAGATCCACTCTGGATGAAGATGAGGAGATTGATGTGGTGGGCGACAAATTCCTGATTAAAATGGAAAAGCAACGCACAACGGCAGATGCAGCAGCAACAGCAACGGCAGCAACATCCTCGGAAGCAGCAACATCACAAGGCAGCAGCAGCAACATGGAAGCCACGACGACGACGACATCCAAGTGCTGGGGTCCCAGTTCACCCACGGCGGGCACCACGGCTCCAAGTCCACCTCCTCACTCCCCGGAGGCGGCGACGCGAGTGGCCGGCAATGTTTACAACGGTAAGTTTCGCCCCCGGGAAAGTAGAAAAGTAGAAATGTAGAAAAGCGGGTGGAAAGCAGGAAAATCGAGGGGGCGCACGTAATCGCTGTCATTGATGTGGCCATTGTGCGATTGCGAAACAATTCCGAATCAATTTAATTGCCTTTGTTGTCACTCAATATTGTTTGCGATTCCGGCCAGCGGGCTATAGACTATTGGGCCCACAAATGCAGAGACCCTCGGTTTCCCTTCGGCGTGAAAACAATGGCAAACGGTGAAATTAAACCGTTTGCCTCGATCTGGGTCCTTCGTTTCGCTACAATATGTGACTGTCTGTCAAAGCTTTTTACGTACAATTGCAAAATTAATTATTCAAGGGGAATTAGAAGTTAGATAGTTAGTTTAGTAGGACTGTTTAACTGCTTAAAGGCTTAACTAAACTAGAGGTTTTATTTTACATTTTCCAGTGCTTTACTTGGAAAACCATAAACTTCAGCTCGCTTACAAAGTTTTCTCTGGAAATCCTTTTAGAAAATATAATGTTTTCTTGCTCTGGCACATAAAAACTACTACTATGGATATCATAGCACAACTTCAGGCGTGGTCCTCGTGATATTCGAGTTGACCTTTCAAACTTTGTCCTTGGATTATAGAAATTAAACACAGAGGAATCATAAAGTGGAACCATGTGGCAGCCCTTCAGTTTACAATAAATGCTTTTGTTTTAAGTTCTCGGAAAGAAAAAGCTTGGGGAAGAACAAAGGATAAATGTTTTGCCAGCTTATAAAAGAAAAGGAAACAGAAGTTTTTATAATTTCAAAGTTTTTAAGAGGTACACTTTTAAAAAACTTAATGAACATAAATTTAAAATATTTTGCTTTAAGTTAAAAAAATGTTCAAAAAATTTCAAAAATATTTTTTGGGGGTACAATATATTTTTTATAGCATACTTTAGGGATACTGATTTTGGAGAAAATTAAATGCAGTTTAAAAGTCTATAATTTGAATAACTTTTTTTAAAAGCCATTTCTGATTTCAGAATTTTTTCTGTATATTCTTACCATCCCCAACTGTTTCTAAATATCTTTTAACCCATGATTTTCCCCTTCTTTACTTTATATTTTATAGGCTACACCCGCGAACTGTCGCCGCTGCACTACACCGCGTACCTGCCCCGCATGGAGAGCGAGATAACCGTGATTCGAGCGGCGGCCACGGCTCTGGTGGCAGCCAGGACCTCCGGAAGCGGAAATGGAAATGCCACCAGTGGAGATCAGCACCTGGCCGCCTACCAAACACCGCCCTCGTCCACCACTTCATCGCCCTCCTGCTCGCCCAGTGGCGCCAACGATCGCTACAGTCCGCTGTCGAGTGGCCAGACCTCCAGCGAAAGGAAGTGCTTCAGCAGCACGGGGGCCACACTCTCCCTGCCGCCGAAGAAGAAGGACATCTACAGACCCTACTCACTGGACGACAAGCCGGCACACGGCTATCGGCGGAGGATTCCGGCGGAGGAGGACCTGCATGCGGCACATGCCATCCTGGATCTGAGTGCCAGCACAGCCTTCCACCCGCCCACGCAGCCTCATCAGCTGCAGCAGCAGCAGCAACATCACCCGGCCCCGCAGCAACATCAACATTACTTGCCACTGCAGCAGCAGCAACAGCAGCAGCAACAGCAACAGCAGCAACACCACAACCACACCCACTTGCCAACCTTGGAGGCGCATGCGCATCTGCGCGGCAGCTCGATTGCCGAGCTGGCTGCAGCAGCAAGTGTGGTGAACGAGCAACGCCCCGCGAGCAATGCCTCGAGTGCCAGCAGCAACAGCAACAGCAACAGCAATCACATGCCCAGCAGTCCCAGCAGCAACTCGAGCAGCAGCAGCAGCAGTCAGGTGCAGAACGAGAACAGCAACACCACCAACACGAACCAGGATGGCGAGTGCCTGCAGGATGGGGAGCATGGTGGCGCCTCCGGAGCGGCGGCCAAGACGGTGGCCTACACCTACGAGGCCTTCTTCGTCAGCGACGGTCGCTCCAAGCGCAAGCATGTCGCGGATCCGGCAGCAGCTTCTGCGGGCGGAGTGCCCTCGCCGGATCAGGCCAAGACCAAGTACACCTGCTCCGAGTGCGGCAAGCAGTATGCCACCTCGAGCAACTTGTCGCGCCACAAGCAAACGCATCGCTCGCTGGACTCGCAGTCGGCCAAGAAGTGCCACACCTGCGGCAAGGCGTATGTTTCTATGCCCGCTTTGGCCATGCATCTGCTGACCCACAAGCTATCCCACAGTTGTGGGGTTTGTGGTAAGCTCTTCTCGAGACCCTGGTTGCTCCAGGGACACCTGAGATCGCACACGGGCGAGAAACCCTACGGGTGTGCGCACTGCGGCAAGGCCTTTGCAGATCGCTCGAATCTCCGGGCCCATATGCAAACCCATTCGGTGGACAAGAACTTCGAGTGCAAGCGTTGCCACAAGACCTTCGCCTTGAAATCCTATCTCAACAAGCATCTGGAGTCGGCCTGCCTGAAGGACGAGGAGGAGCTGATGATGTCCATGTCGCTGTCCATGCACGATAGCAACAGTGAGAGCGGGGCCAGCATGGCCTCGTCGCCGCCCCATGAGTTCCTCGAACGCGTTAAGCTCGAGGGCAGTGGAGGAGCCACTTATGCCATGTAAGCATAAAACACAGGGGGAGTGCCAAAGAAATTTCTAGAGTTTTGTGAAGATCCGGCTCGTAGGACCAACATGTAAAAAGAAAGCAAAACTTGAGAGATTTCACTGGCATTCCCCTCGTAAGGAAAAGGATAGATGTGCTGTAACTGCATAGCTGGTTAGTTAATTTACCGTTAATGTTAAAGTTACCGTTACCATTTACAACTAGGTTAACCGATAGCCGTTTTTATAGAAGATACATACATCACAATACGTCCAAGAGCAAAGTGTAGTAGAGTAACACAGAGACTGTAGAAATTCGCATTAGGCAGCCAAGCAACAAAATACTCAATGGGTGTGGGTTTCCTGAAATCTCCTTCATGATTTGAAAACTCCTTTTTCCAAGGTGCCTCCAAAAGTATGCAAAGGAAACATAGAATTTGATAGGGAGATTTCAGGAACCCCCTCCACCCATGTTCTTCTTCTAAACTTAAGTGAGTTGAACATTCCTAGGAAGACCCTACACATTCCAAAACAAACAAAAACACACCCCTAACACACAGAGAGCCTTGTGTATGAGGTGCTAAAGCCACATGCATTCCGAGAACCTGAAGAAATCTAAGCAATTCTAGCAGCTATCTTATCTATCTAACTACTTACCGAAAGCAAAACACATAGGAGTACTATATTTAAATGCATATATAGAGTGTACTATAACCTGTAGCTAAACCAAACAAACAAAGAAACAAACGAACGTTTTAATCTACCCACTCTCTCCAACTAACTCTCGAAGAACACTCTCCTCTAGCTAACTCTTATCCTAACTCTAACTCTTACTCGAACAATATCTCTCTACTCTCTATCTCTATCTCTTAATCGACAACGTTGACGACGACGACGAAGTGATTAAAATTAATGCAACGAATACAAAAGCAAATGCAATGTTTCTCAAACAACGAATTAGGACTTAAGGGCAGCCTATCTATAAGCAGTAATTACGAGTGCTAGCCACTAAGCAATTTTAAACTAAGTCACACGAAAAGCGACATTTAAGCACTCAACAATTTTTAGATTCGATATAAACGACAACGATACAAAAATTACAAATTACAAATTAATCAAAAAGCAAACAAAGCAACAAAGCAAGCAAGCAAAGCAACAAAAAAGCAATATTTAGTCGGGTTTTGCGAACCGGTTCAAGTGGGAGCGGTTCAAAGAGCGAATGTTAAAAAATCGAAACCAAGAACAACGAGGACCAATGAAAACTCCCCGAGAACTGGTTGTGTAAGCCTCATATTAACCCTTGTAGAAAGCATCACGATCACGTTTATATAGGTAAAGTCCCCCAATTAGTTCACTCCAAGAAAATCAAATCATTTTATGGCTAGAAGAGCATTGCAGAAGTCACAGAGAGGGCGGTTCGAGAAACCTAATGGCGCTTTTTTTCTCAGTCAGTCGGTCAATTACCCAGTGAACCACTATTTATTTTAGTCCTTAGAAGTGAACATCTAGTCGCTGTTTAACAGCAAAACTCACTTATTTAATACCAAAGCCATTCCCAGTTCTTAGTAGCATTCCGTTCGAGGCCCAACTAGGAGTATAGCCAGCGAATAAGACCAAAGAAATCCCTATTATTCGATCGCATAGAGAGAACCCCCCTCAGCAGAACCGAAAATATCGAGTGTGATCTAGTCTCAAGCATTTAACAGTACACTTCGTCCATGCGTGAATAATACTTTTGCACTTTTTCGACACTTAACCGACCTAGTACGATATTACTTAGCCCTATATTATGTAACTGTAACTCATATTCATTCATTCCATCATTTTACTCATTCATCTTCATACTCACACACACAAGACACTCAAATCACTCAATCGCTGCACAAACCTGTAAATACTAGGATATAGCGTATACATCAGCATTATAATCATCAACTGAAATCAGCTTCAGCAACCGATCTCAAAGAGGAAGTGGGGAAAGAAGTGCAACGAACATTTTGTAGCCCTAGTCGTAGAGCCAAGTTTAGATGACCCAAAGACCGAAAACCAGAACAAACCAAAGTTGTTGGTATTTCTAAGCGGGTATCTGGGAATATGAATATATATAGAGGATATATACATCTAGAATACGTATGTAGTTGCGTAATATTTACAAAGCATATATTATATACAGCTAGGGTTAGTCTTCAGACATGTACTCGTAAGTTAAACTAGTAAGTATAATCACGAAATTATTTTTATACTGTTGTTCGGAGGAGGAGGGAGAAGGTCGGACGAGAGAGATGGCAACACTTTTAAGGAATATTATTAAACGATTAAACGAATAATCGAGACGAAACCGAAATCGAAATCGCAATCGGAATCGAATAAATCGGCTAAAGTACCAAAGCAAATACTCAAACAAGAAAAATAAGAACCCCTGCAAACCGCAAGACAAATTACAATTACAATTATTTCAATTACAACTACAATTAATTATATATAATATATAGCGTTATCTAGCATATAGTCAACTATTATTTACGTATCGTTTATAATTTATCGAAGCGAGAAGCGAGAAATGTAATGAATATTTATGAAATTTGCATTATGAAAATGTTGAATTGAATTGAAGCCCGGCAATAATATTAAATTTTAAAAATTTTGTATAACAACTGTATAGAAGGCGATGGAAAGTAAAGCAATAACTTAACTTAACTAACGAGTTAATCGATTTATTAGTCTTAAAGAAAATACTGTAAGGTTGGAACTACTTACAATTAGCAATCAAAGCACACTTGTAAAAACAAAAAAACCAAAAACAAATGGAAAAACGAGAGAAGCAATTATAAAGTTACAAATATACAATACATATTATTAAATAACCACACATTTTACAAGCGAAACAATGTTTTTTATTTATAAACCTTTATTATTTCAACTGGCTTATGTTTTGCTGAGTGATTTTTGATGAATATAAAACGACGAACCCAAAGCAATTCGAGTATTGTGATAGTCCAAAAACACACACTAACAACTTTCAGAACTATTCGTTAATTTTGCTCAAAGGAAAAAGCAAAAGAGAAATTGAGCTCCAGAAACTTTTAATAGAAATAACGTGTATCGAAAAGCAATAAAACGTAGTGGTAAAGATTTATAAAGTAAAGAGTAAAAGGGGGTGCATATTTTAAAACTACTAATTATATCCCCCAAGGCATAAATACAAAAATACCTATCTATATTTGGAAAAGCTTTAGTCCAAAATTAAACTCTTCAGTTGTTCCAATCACGCACATTAACACAGAACCGAGATCATGATGTATTGTTAAACCCAAGGAAATTGTTAAAGTTGATACATTAGTAGCGTAGGACCCACACATACATTTACATACACCCATTTACCCTGTACAGACACACAGACACAGACGCATAAACGGAACCAGCGCAACGCGAAATGCAATTGTTGAATTCAGTATTTGTAGCATTAGGTTCATGATCCATTGTTTCCATTATCTGTTGCTGACACCACCCCCAAAGCTGAACAACCGAGCAGCTGAACAACCGAACAACCGAACACCCATGGCAACAACATTGTGTTGTCCTTTTTGTGTCAATGCAGTTTAACGAGCGCTCGTTAGACGGACGCGAACAAAGGGAAATGTAATAAAAAAAGGGAGGTACTTTCACCAGGGTCTAAGCCACCCCCACCACCCTCGCGGAAATTGCAAAAAAAAGAAAAATAATAAAAGGGGGTGCCCCTGCACGCATTTAATTCGAAAAAATTTAATTTGCATAGTTTGCATTGAGCGTGATTTATTTGTTTACCCAAACACCACCCCCACATGTATAAATAATTGAGCAAAAATAAAGTAAAAGACTTGGCACGTTAACACTAATAATTCAAGAATTGAACATAACTAATAAAGTCATGAAAATATTATTATATAAATAGCTGACAAAGAATAAGCAAGCGAGAACAAAAAATGAAAGACTTAACACTTTGAATATATATTATAATGGAGAAGGCAAAAAGCTATACTTATTTACAGCTATTGTATTGTATATGGTATAATCGTAGAGAATCGAAGAAGGCAAAAGCAATTAACGAGAGCAACAAAAACAACGCAAATCGAAAGCAATAGAGCATTAAGGTAACTAAAAAGTATTAAATCGCATGTATCTATGAGTAAATATTTGGAATTCGTTATATTATTGCGATAAGTAAGGCGAAACCCCGAACATTTATGGCACTATACACTATATATATTATAGCAGAATAAAGAATATAAACAATTTAGTTTACACGGAAAACGAAAGAAAAGCAAATGCGCAAACAAAAAAATAAGCAATAACTTATTATTAACGAGCCGTAGGGATTTTTGGATTTAGCTGGCAAACGATGAATTGATTAAACGATTATAACGATTATTAGTTATCGATATACAGATATATTAACAGGTAGAGTTGTTTTTGCATATTGTTATCGCAACTTTTGTGCTGCTTGACGAGACCAATTGATGTACTACTTTATACAACGAAAACCAATGAAAACCAAGGAAACTAATGAGAACTCATCTTATGTTTTTGCATAGGTGCATATTGTTGCGATAGATATACAAACCTATTTTGGTCGATTATACATAACACTCACACAAGCCATAAAAACATAGTTGAAAAACCAGAGTTACTGCGTAGAGATTTAAAAATCATTTTAACTTGTATTTAGAGCACTCACACATACAAACACACGACACCAATACACACACACAAATACACAACGGTAGCATTGTAGAAAAGTAGAGTTGCAAACAAGAATATTATTAAAGAAAAGCAAAAAGCGAACATAAATTTAAGCTTACGATTAGAGAAACAAAAACACAGCACCTTAGTGAGCCAGCAAAAAATAAAAAATAATGAATTCTGTACCTAGAAATACAACAAACATCCACAAACACAGACATAAACACACATTAATTATGTATTTAATTGCATCGAGACAAACTAATCGAATATATAAATATATATAAAGCGATATATGCAACTATAAATATATACACACAAGGACGAGAATGCGTTTATTATGCAATATATGCGAAACATTCTACATTATTAATTACGTGCATTATGTATATGACATTCATGTACATAAATGGCAGCGAACAACACACACACAAGCAAACAAACATAAAGGTCCTGGCTTTGGCTGTCAATCAAGGATAATGGAGGGAGAATCTAAAACAAGAAAATCCCAACAATCCCGTTTGCAGTCTTAGACATCCAGGATCCGCCCTCGAAGTCAATTTTACCAAATGGTCAATTTCAATTATGACTCAAAATCGTTTCATGTTTTTCAGTAGTTTTTATGCTAAGTTGTTGAAAATGAAAATTGTGCAGCTTATAAGACAGAAGAACAGACAAAAAAGAGAAATCGATAAAGAATTTATGAATGTCTTCAGTTTGATTGCGTGGTTTCGACTAGAGTGCATCAATAAAAACATATATAAAACTTATATACGCATTAAACGAGTATACTATATATTTTGTACTTAATCAATTGATTTGTATAATCCAACCAGAAACACACACACAGACACACCACAATGGCTAATCAATGCATAGTTACTAACGGGAAAAAAACGGAGCCAAGCATTCTGTAAAACATCTAACATAAACGTACATAAGTATATTATATTTTCATAACACATGACAAATTTATACATGGAAAAACGAAAAAAAAATGGAGAAATCGAGATGGAGAAAAGTGCGACGATGCAAAACAACTTGCGTAGTAAATGAGAAAACAAACATAGTGAATAAAAAAATAAAAATCTGACAAAAAAAAGCTACAGCCAAATGCGTTTGATTTCAATTGGTGGCTTCTGGTGTGGAAATCTCCGGGGGATTCGGAGATTCAGGAAAAAGGTCCTCTGTCAGCGGCAGACTCGGGAAATTTTATTCAATGCAGTTTCACTTGTGCGAATCATCGGAACGGAAACTAAGTATTTTCCACGGAAAAGTAATTGCAGTTACACTTTTTCTTTGATCAGTCGGGTTTTTTTTCGCCGGAAGTGGAATTTTGCAATATTATTGGTCGGTTTTCAGCTGAAAATGTGAATTTAATTGAAATTATCACTAACTAACA